CATGTTTTGCCCAAAAAATATACAGTCAATTCATTTTACAATATATTTTGTGAAGCGCTTTGAGACGTCTCAAAGACATGAAAATCGCTATATCAAATGCAAGGATTATTATTGTTTGTTTATTATCCTAACTCAGATCCAAGCCTTTGACTGAACAGCCCTTTGGAATGTCTTCCCGATGTGAAGGACGTTATACAAATGTAATTTGTTGTTGTTGTTGTTGTTGTCATCCCCTTCCCCTCTGCTAAAAATATCCAAGTCCTCACCCAGGATATATAATAATAATTATAAACCTTGCATTTGATATAGCCCCTTATCACCTCTTCCAGACGTCTCAAAGTGCTTCACAGAATATACTGTAAAGTGATTTGATTTTTTTTAAGTGATATAAACCCTTCTGCTCATCCCTTGACCTCTCATTATTGTTGAGGCCTCTCAATAAGTCAGTGTCCTTCCTGCTAACCCAGTTCTAGCTGTTCATTAACTTGTGTAAAGGAACACTTCCTCACATCAGTGCTAACCCACAGATCCCTGTCTGCTGCCTTGGATATCTCAGAGCATTGTGTTGTGTTTGCTTTCTCTGTGTGTTGCTGATAAGATCCTAGTTTATCAAGTCATTACTCATATCCTTGGATCTTGCCAACCTGTGCCTAATACTTTCTGAAATTAGGTAAGCAGGATGTGTCCCTCCAGGAGGAGAGAGAGAGAGAGAGAGCATTCCATTCCAACAATCTATCCCTGGGATTTCAGCTTGGAGTAGATACTCTTAAGCACAGCGCTGGGTTTCCGCATGGGTCAGACACCCGGCTGGGCAAAAAAAAATAGCTCATCCCTATCATCCGGGGAATCAGCCTCATTGCTCCAGTCTTGGGGATTCATTGGAGGCGCGAATGCCAACAGTAATACAATGAATTAAATGGCCTCCGACTGTGTGATTATCACTATGTTCCTAACCTTGAGAACTCCCTGCTTCAATCCTTCCGCCTGCTTATCTATCTTCAAATCTCACCTTAACCGCACGTACAGTCTATTCTGTGAAGCGCTTTGAGACATCTAGAAGACGTGAAAAGCGCTATATCAAAATGCAAGGATTATTATTATTATCTATGGACACTTCTCTCTTGCTTGGTATCTGACTCCACCACTCGGCAATGCTCCGAGATGCTATTGTACATGAAGGGTGCTACATAAAATTGCAAACTATTGTTATTAAAACTGTTGCCCATGTATTCACTCTCTCTAAGGTCCGTACCCCCATCACACTTGTCCTCACCAACAACAACAACTTGCACTTATATAGGGCCCTCAACACAGGATAGCATCTCAGAGCGCTTATACCCCTCGCCAGGCTCCACTGGCTCCTTATCACAGATACTTCAAGATCCTCTCACTCGTCTACAAATCCATTTATTCCTACCTCTCTGACCTGCTTATTCCCCACTCCACCATCCGCTGCCTCTACTCGCTCTGGCCTCATGCTTGTCCCTGTACCCTCCGCTCCACCATCAGCAGCTGTGTTTTCAGCCACTACACTGTAATTCTCTGCCTCAATCCCTGCACCTCCTTATCTACCTTCAAAGCCCACTTTAAGATCTACCTCTTCGACCGGGCCTATGGACAACTTCCTTCCCCCTTCTACCTTGCTTAGTGTCCGACTCCACCTCTGGGCAGTGTTTCAAGACACTACCCTGTGTAAAGGCTGCTATGTTATTGCAAGTTGTTGCGTTAGATCTTTATGGTTCTATGGTAATTGGTTCCTATCAATATGCTCCGTATTGATGGTGGTGGTGGATGAGGTCTCACAGATCCCAAGGTGGGATTCCTGCCCTTTACCTGGCCTCGGATCTCTGCCCAACCCGGTGGCTTCAAAACCAGGTATATTCTGTGAGGCGCTTTGAGACGACTCAACATGAATAAGGGGCTTGTGTCAAATGTAAGGATTATTATAATAATCCTTGCATTTGATATAGCGCTTTTCACTTCTTCTCGACGTCCCAAAGGGCTTCACAGAATATACTGCAAAGTGAATTGACTGTATATTTGTGGGCGAACGCGGCAGCCAATTGCGCACAGCAATGTCCCACAAACAGTCGTAGATTGAAAATGACCAATTTATTATTGTTTTTGGTTATTAGGCTCTGTGTGGAGTAAGGAAACTTGCCCAAGGTTTGGCCCTCTGTCTGGAATTGAACTCAGGTCTCTCGCTTGCAAAGCGAGTGCTCTAACCACTGAGCTACAGGACTCCAATTATTAATATGAAAACATCCCCGGGTGGCTCTCTCTCTCACACAGCGCAGTGCACAGGCCAGTGCAGGCACAGTGAGGTGGCCTGGAAATCAGCCAAGCCGGCCTGCTTTGAGGTTTAAACCTTTGAACGTCCCCATTCACCCAGACTTCAAAACTTTGATCCCTTTCTTGTTCCTGGTCAGCAGGCTTGAGGAATAGGTTGGAAGGAGCCAAACTGCTACAAGGTATGAGCGACGGGCAAAGAGAGAAAACAGAGAGAGAGAGAGAAAATGAGGAAGAAAAGGCCAGAAAAGAAGCCAGGGGGCATGAATCATAGAATCTTACAGCACAGAAGGAGGCCATTCAGCCCATCGTGCCTGTGCCGGCTTTTTGAAAGAGATATCAACTAGTCCCACTCCCCCGCTCTTACCCTATTAACCCTGCACATTTTTCATTTTTACGTACCTATCTAATTCCCTTTTGAAAGCTGTTTTTGATTCTGCTTCCATCACCTTTTCAGGCAGTGTATTCCAGACCATAACACCTCTCTGGGTAAAAAAGGAAAGGAGAAAGAAAAAATAGAAAAAGAAAGATGATAGAGAACACGGGAGGGCAGCAAAGACAATAATAATAATCCTTGCATTTGATATAGCGCCTTATCACGTCTTCAAGACGTCTCAAGCGCTTCACAGGATATACTCTAAAGTGAATTGACTGTATATTTTGTGGGTGAAACGCGGCAGCCAATTGCATACATCAAGGTCCCCACAAACAGTTGTGGATTGAGTGACCAAATTATTTTTTTTTTTGAAGGAATTATTATCCCTGGGAAAGCAATCGGCCAATCAACTAACACTCAGGTTCCTACTTACTGGCAGGTAAACAGAGGCGTATGGAGTAACAAAAATTGCCCAGCGTTTTGCCCTGCCAGGGAACCGAACCCAGTCTCTCACTTGCGAAGAGCGTGCTCTAACCATTGAGCTACTCCAGGACAAAGGTAGTAAGAGTGAAACAGGTACCAGAGGATAATATAATATTGATTGTGGAGTCCTGTAGTATATTGGTTAGAGCACTTGCCTCGCAAGCGAGAGGACCTGAGTTTGATTCCCGGGCAGGGCGAAACCTTAGGCAAGTTTCTTACTCCACACGCCTCTGTTAACTGAGCAGTATTTAGGAATCTGGTTGTTAGTTGATTGGTGGATCCCTTTTTTGGGGCTAATAATGCCTTTAAATAAATGTGGTCACGCAATCCACTGTTTGTGGGACGCTGCTATGAACAATTGGCTGCTGCGTTTCACCCACAAAGTATACAGTCAATTCACTTTATAGTGTATTCTGTGAAGCGCTTTGAGACGTCTTGAAGATGTGATAAGGCGCTGCATCAATTATGAGGGAGAAAATAATAATCCTTGTATATTATTATCCAGGATGTACTGGAACTAAATGGAAGCTTCATGTTTCCATGACACCTCACACCAAAGATTAGAGAATGTCAAGAGCCAAACTCAGTCCTGTTCTCACCCAAACCCCAGGCCTTGCTGTGTGTGTCTGAGTGTTTGTGCTTGGGTCTATGTTTGTACATGTGCCTGTGTCTGTGCCCGTGTTTGTGATTGTGGTGCACACGCGTGTCTGTGTGCTCTTGCCTGCTCGCGTGGCTGTCTGTGTCTGTAACCTTGTCTGATTTCTCTGGTTGGGGCGGTGAGCTCTTGGCCTGTACACAGTGTTTACTCTCAGGGCCCGATATGGGGGGCCGTGGAACTCATCGCTGAAACCCTGACTCCAGCGATTACTCAGCAAACAAATGATCCTTTGCCCTGACACTGTTATCAGCCATCAGATGACTGAGTCTCCCAGTCAGCCAGCACTCCACTGGGGAATTAAGGCACAATCTTGTGGCCAGAGTTCACACAACACACAGACTAGGCCAATATTTCACTCTCCCCCATACACCACAGGGCAGTTTACCCTGAACCCAGACAGGCTCTGCAGGAAGCACAAGCTTGTACTTTCACACTGACTGGTATATTGCAATGAATCAAACAGGATCACCAAGTGACTCCTCCAAACCCTAAAAACACACAGATGGTCTTTAATCACTGACCCAGTGAGCGCTTTCTCCTCTGAGTCAGAAGGCTGTGGGTTCAAGTCCGTCAGGACTTGGAATCACATAGTCGAAGCTGACGCTCCAATGCAGGGCTGGGGGAGTGTTGCATTGATAGAGGTGCTGTCCTTTGGATGAGAGTTAAACCGAGGTCTTGTCTGCCTGGTCAGGTGGATGTTAAACAACCCACAACACTATTTGAAAAGAGGAGTTTCTCTCTTCCGGTGTCCTGGCCAACAATCTCCCAAATGAAACTGATCACTCACTCCATGGCTGTTTGTGGGTCACTGCTGTGTGTAAACTGGCGTTTTACTCACAAAATACACAGTCACTGCACTTTACAGTATACCCCGTGAAGCGCTCTGAGATGTCTCGATGATGTGATCAGGCTCTATATCAAATGCAAGGTTTATTATTGTTATTACTGCTGTGTATAGTGCAAGGTAGTTGCCACTTTTTTTTACTCTATAACATCGTACAAGTAGCTCCCAAGTATGACACTTGAATGTGATAAGGCTCAGGTCTGTATCAATGCAGTTATTACTGAATGAGAGAGAGTGACACAGACACGCAAGCAATTCTAAGCATCGCATTTAGCTTAACATTTCATCTGCAGGACAGCACCTCCAACAATACAGGGCACCCTCCAGCAGTGAACTAGAATCTCATCCCCAGTTTTATTCACGAACAATTCTGCATAAGATGCCTCTATCTCAGCCGGTCCCTGTGCAGCTCAAACCAGCGATTCACAAAACAACACACAAATGTCACGTGAGTTGTTGAAACAGAACAAAGTCCCCTGAAAGGAAGAGTTTGTTTAGGAGCGAGGAATAGCCGGTGTCTGACCTGACCACCAGCTTCAACGTCCTGTGGGAGCCTTTGATGAGAATGAGAGCTTCCTGCCGGGAACCGTACAGTGGGCAGCCATTGATGTTCACCAGCTCGTCCCCCACCTGCAGTTTCTTTGACGAGGCTGCTTTGCCTCCCTCTTCCATCTGAAAACACAGGATGGGCAACATAAGTCATTCTGACATTTGTTACAGCGCTTTTCACAAAGTGCTTTGCAGGATTTACTGTAAAGTGCAAGGTAGGGGCAGATTGTGTGTTTTATGGGCAAATGCAATGACAACAAGGGTTAGGGTTGGGGCAAGTGCACAGCGCACAACTTTTGTTATGAAGCATCTCAAAGAGCTTTACCGAGATGATCATTTTATTTATTGCCTATCACGTCAGGAGGACATCTCAAGGCACTTCACAGTCACGTTGTGACTGTATTTTGAAGGCAATTACGGCTGCCAATTGAGCACAGCAATGTCCCACAAACAGCCATGTCGTGAGTCGCCAAATTTATTTGGGGGATTGTTGGCCAGGGCACCGGGAGAGGGAAACTTTCTTCTCTTTTAAAATAGTGCCACGGGATCTTTTAACATCCACCAGAACAGGACCTTAGTTTAACCTCTCATCCGCAGGACGGCACCTCCACTAACGCAGCACTCCCCTGGCTCAGCATTGGAGCATCAGCTTAGACTATATAATAATAATCCTTGCATTTGATATAGCGCTTTTCACGTCTTCGAGATGTCTCAAAGCACTTCACAGGATATACTGTAAAGTGAATTGACTGCATATTTTGTGAGTGAAGCGCGGCAGCAAATTGCCCACAGCAGTATCCCCACAAAGTCATGGATTGAAGTGACCAATTTATTATTGTTTTTTTGAGGGATAATTATTAGGCGTGTGGAGTAAGGAAATTTGCCCAAGGTTTCACTCTGCCGGGAATCAAACCCAGGTCTCTTGTTTGCAAAATGAGTGCTCTTAATCACTGAGCTACAGGACTCCATATGGGTTCCAAATGGTGACATGTAGCTCGAACCTAGAACTTTGACTCCAAAATGGGAGCCAGAGAGGGTGGGACATTGAGGACGAGGTGAAAGAGAGAGAGAGAGAGAGCGAGAAAGAGGAGGAGGCAGAGAGAGTGAGAGTGAGAAGAGGGAGCTATATTAAATGCAAGGATTATTATTATAGCAAAGCAACAAGCCCAGACAACATCTTTGAACGTTAACAAGTTACTACACTGACTGTGAACAGACACACACCGTACACCGCACACATCAGGTACAATGCCAGCTCAAGGCTCTACTTTTAAACAGAACTCACCGGCCTTCTTATGAGACATTAAACCAAAGCCACGTCTGCCTTTTCAGGTGGATGTGAAAGATCCCTTGGCAAAATTCAAAAAGAGAAGGGAGTTTCTCTCTCCCAGTGTTCTGGCCAACAATCCCCCAAATAAAATAGGTCACTCACTCCATGATCGACATTGCTGAGTGCAAATTGCCTGCTGCATTTCGCTCACAAAATAAACAATCGCTGGAGTTTACCGTCTAATTACTCCAAGATACGACATGTGTGAAGGGCGCTGTATAAACGCAGTTGCTTACAGTCTGTAAAATGCTTTGTGACATCCACAGAATATACCGTAAAGGGAAGTGACTGTATATTTTCTAGAACTCTCTCCAAAATTCCTGTTTCCTCTCTGCTTTCATTGCAACATTATAGGCATTGTACCAAATTGTATTAGGATTATTATGAATATATACAGATCAATTGGTTATTGATCTGATTGCTGTTAAAGGGACATTGTTGAGGCCAGGCTGATTAACAATTTGGTCTGTGCATATTTGGAGCAGTATTAGCTGATTAATCTGTGTGATCAGCTGTGATCTGTAACGTCCACTTGAACAGAGTCTGGAACTTAGTGCCATATCTCAGCTGAAGGAGGGTGTGCTCTGCTAGCAGATTAACTGTGGTGTTAGCCTTAGCAATACCTTCAAAAGTGGTTGTGTAATGGTATGGAGGTGAAGGCTCTGTGTTAATGAACCGGGACCAATTCAGGGTTTCACACAGTGTTCTACGCTAAACAGTGAGCGGAATCCAAGAGTTGCAGCACAGAAACAACCCAGGGCTTCCCCACACAGCCAGTGCAGGGCACCACCCCACACTCGGAGCCAGCGGAGCTGCTGTCATCAGAGAGGACAGTGGTTGGGTTTGAGGAACCACCACACCCCATCACATAGACTGGGTGAGACTCCAGGCACACTGATGTTCACACTCGATAGCTTCTCCTGACCAAAAGATAAATACGATTATTTACTCCATAGTTGTTTGTGAGCTATTGCTGTGCTCAATTTAGCTACCGCGTTTACCTACAAGAACGCACCCTTTACAGTAATTCCTGTGAAGCGCTTTGAGGTGTCCTCTCGACATGAAAGGCGCTATATCAAATGCAACGATTATTATCCAACAATTATAATAATCCTTCAAAAAAATAATAATAAATTGGTGATTTCAAACCATAACTTTTTGTGGGACGCTGCTGTGCGCATTTGTCTGCTGCATTTCGCCCACAAATATACAGTCAATTCGCTTTACAGTCTATTCTGTGAAGTGCTTTGAGATGTCGAGAAGACATGAAAAAGCGCTATATCAAATGTAAGGATTATTACTATTATTATCCTCAGTCACACTGAACTGCTGCAAGCTATCAGGAGGATGAGCTGTGTTGGTGTGGACTGCTCCAACATCATATCTAATCTAATCTCATTCTCATTCACTTCCTATAGGCTATTTCAGGACAGCATCAAAAGGACAGAGACTTTTAACATTTAAAGCACAGGACTTCCACCAGTGTGCCATTATTGTGAAAGCAAACTGTTCTGTGAATGTATCTCTATTTATAAAGCCAAAGATCCCATATGCTTTTTTTAACAGCTTGATCAATCTGTTCCTGCCATTTTCAAAGACCATATCATGTGGTTGAGACGTCTCAAAGCACGTCATAGAATATACTGTGAAGTGAATTGACTGTGAATATTGTGGGTGAAACGCAGCAGGCGCACAGCAGTGGCCCACAAAACAGTTGTGAATTGAGTGACCACATTTTTTTGGAGGGTTCATTACCTCCGGAAAGTGATCCACCAATCAATTAACAACCGGATTCCTACTTACTGCTGTGTAAACAGAGACGTGTGAAGTAAGGAAACTTGCCTAAGGTTTCACCCCATCTGGAAATCGAACACAGGTCATCTCGCTTGTGAGGCAAGTGCCCTAAACACTGAACTACAGGACTTCCAATGGGGCAGCATAGTGCACAGCCCTGCAGTTACGGACCAGGAGCTCCCTGGTCGGTCCGTGCAGAGTTTAGTGGTGTCGGCCGGGGATGCTGGCACCATGGAGGTAAACAGCGGCCAGGTTCCCTGCTCCTGGTCTCTCCTCTATTGGTTGTGGTTGTGTGCAGCAGCTGGGTAGGGAGAGGTCAGGCTAAGGCTGTTTACTGCTTGATATTATATGTGGCAAAATCTTACAACTCGTTACACGTCAATATGACAACTCAGTGTTTCACATACTGTAAAGTGTAGTGACTGTTTATTTTGTAGGTGAACACAGCACCAATTTTCATACAGCAATGTCATCCAAACAGCCAGGAAGCGATTGACTAATTTTATATGAGTGATTGTTGGCCAGGAAACTGGGAGAGAGAAACTCCCTTCTCATTTCAAAAGCACTGGAGTGTCAAGTCTAGACTGTGAGTTCAAAATGTCCTGATATGGGACTTAAACCCACAAAGTTTTGACTCAGAGGAGATAGCGCTACCAACTGAGCCAGGTTGACATAATCATGATGTATAACGCAATGATCCAACAACAAGGCATATGCTCCGTCACAGGCTGTATCAGCCCATCGTGGAGTATTGCAGTGGTCAGACCACTCATCTCGCAAGGGAGAGGACCCGGAAAAGCAATCTGCCAATCAACTAACAACTGGGTTCTCTCCATAGATGCTGCCTGACCTGCTGTGTGTTCCCAGCAACTTTTGTGTTTATATATAGAGGTGTCAAAGGGTCTGTTAGAAATCATACCTTCACACATCAGGCTGACAGTTGCAGGGTATTTCACTATATCAGACTAGGAACAATCTTCAAATTCTCTGTGTAAGTGGCCTCTGGTTTCCTTCCATTTTCTAAACCACACACTTACACACACAAACGTCTACAAAACCACCGGCAGAAAAACAATCACCGCCCCGGGGCTGCCTGCGGTGAAATAGTTGGAATGTTTTGAGGTATTTGAGCTGACTCGAAACCGATCAGCTCAGTGCATGGTACAGCAGCTCACGTCTCACCCACCCATGAACTCCACCGTCAGATAACCCACATCTCAGACACGGCTGGTGAGTAACTCACTACTGATCAACTGGACCTGAATTAGGGAGATATTATACCCTGTCCTTGGCACAGGCTCCTGCTGAGACCGGATTACGAGATTAATAATAATAATATTATTGCATTTGTAAGAGTGCCTTATCATTTCTTTGAGACGTCTCAAAGCGCTTCAAAGATATACTGTAAAGTGAATTGACTGTATATTTTGTGGGCAAAATACGGCAACCAATTGTGCACAGCAGCGTCCCACAAACAGTTGTGGATTGAGTGATCACATTTTTTTTGGAAGGACCTCTGTAAAAGTGATCCGCCAATCGTACATCAACTGGGTTCCTACTTACTGCTAAGTAAACATGTGGAGTAAAGGAAACTTGCCTAATGTTTCGCCCTGCCCAGGAATTGAACCTAGGTCCTCTCACTTGTGAGGTTAGTGCTCTACCCACTATGCTAAAAGAGAAATTCTCCTACACTTTCCATGCAGTCCTGTAGCTTAGCAAATGAGAGGCCTCGGTTTCGAATCCCTGGCAGGGCGAAATTCGGCAAGTTTCCTTACTCCACAACAACAAATTACATTTGTATAGCACCTTTCACGTCAGGAGAACATCCCAAGTAGTAAGTAAGAGCCTGGTTAGTCAACTGACAGATCGTGTCAGTGATAATAATCCCTTCAATAAAACAATAATAGTAATAATAATAAATTGGTCACTTCATTCCATGGCTATTTGTGGAAAACTGCTGTGTGCAATTGGCTGCCCTTCATCTCGCCCACAAAATATA